TTCAAATGTCATAGAGCGGTGGCCAACTTAGACAGTCTTCTATGGCTTAGGAGCATCGGGATGGCGCTCTTGTTTTGCATAAATCCGGCGAAATAACAGGATATAGATATTCTCACCACTGATATCGAAAACTAACAGTCTGCTAGTAAATAAATATCACAATTGTATTTATTAATTGGAGATTAAATCTGGCATCAACTAACGAGGATCAACGATGATGTGGTTGAAGACGAAATGCAGGCATCGGCCGCACGCGCCAGGCAGAATGGGCGTAAACCTCTCGGGCTCTGTCTCGAACATGCAATAAAATAACGCTGCCGTACGGTTCTCCAGTAATAAACTTTCCTGCCGTTTTCAGATGGTGGCGTCCAAAGAAACGTTAGCAGTTCCATTCACTATACGACAATGCAAACTTTGTCGCATCTTACCTCCTAACGTCAAAACTTGAACAGAAGTCTGACCCTTAGTTCAGTCGAAGGTAGTCAGCGTTTTGTGCGCTATACAATATACAATCTTCCGCAGCTGTACTTTCAGTGACTACCAACACTCAAATAATGTACTCAAGATATGTAAACAGAGAAAATCGTTTTAGTATTACCTCTGAGCACTTGCGCAGGGCGTGTACTGTTTCGGCGAGCGCCATGTCTAAAATGACAAACACCGGATCTTTAAGTTTCACCACCTGCGTCCTTACGGTCTCCTCGAATGCCTGGTCAGGAGTGAATATGCCCACGCGAACGCCGACCGAGTTTCTGATCGCAAATGCAATGCTGCGCTTCATTTCGCTCTCGTCTGTCCACTCGACTACCGACAGCAGCTGCGGGAACTTCGAGCGGAAGACGTTCAGGATGTTGGATCCGCAGGACGCCGTGCGCAGGTCGACGAAATTACTTGAGTTTCCCAGCAGCTCGGCCCGGAAGTCGTCGGTGAACCGTATCAGCAGCAGCATTTGCGTTTTCAGCTCCCAGTCCGGATCGTCGTCCATGTCCAGCCTGTCGTACAGTTCTGAAAACTCGTCCAACTCAACGTTCATCCTGCACAGGTGCTCCTCGAGCTTCAGCCGCAAAGACGGCAGTGTCGCCATGATGTGTCTGTTAAGGTGGAAGCTGAGCATGTTCCGCAATGCCGCCAC